ACGGAATGGAATGAGTAAGAGAAGGACAAAAATTACGTCTATCCTTCTCTTATTCATTCCATTCCGTTTGCGTTCCCGTTCAAGAATTAGTTCTGCTTAGTCCTTTAGGATTTAGGTAGAATTTGGTATTATACCTTGTGACGTCAGAGGCTAATAACGTCGATCGAAAGAGGGACAACAAACAATATCATTGGTCGAGCAGCTATCAAATATAAGATTTTGAGGTCACGGCATTAACAAGTACTGGCTATCTGTTCATACAAGAGGCCATATAAACAATAAGAAGAAGAAGATTTTGAGGTTAACTTGAAATCGTTCTCTTTGTAATGTGGCTTGTTGTCGCTCCAGCGATCGACTTCACTGGTAAGGTGCTAAAATTCCCACGCGACATTTTATCCACTTTCTCTAGGTAGGGAAATCCCCATTGCAGGGTTCCCTGCCTAAGGAAAGTGGGTGAAATGTCGCGTGGGGACTTTGGCACCTTTCCATTAGCCTGTGACGTCACAAGAAATAATACCTAATAGTACAATAGTGGAATAGATTTGATCAATCAGAGAAGGTGTTGAAAAACCGAATAATCTGATTGGTCAAATTTGTTGCACTATTCTAGTATTCTACTGCACCCTTAGGGTCAAATCACATGGATGAGTAATGCGTTGCTTCATAATGAGAAAGAAAAGGATAAAGATATACTTTTTTCCTTTTCCTTCTCATTATGAAGCAATGCATCACGCGTCCATGTGATTTCACCCGAAGGCCAACGCAGAACTAATTCTTGAACGGGAACGCAAACGGAATGGAATGAGTAAGAGACGGACAAAGATTATGCCTATCATTCTCTTACTCATTCCATTCCGTTTGCGTTCCCATTCAAGAATTAGTTTTGCTTAGGCCTATATCATTGGCCAAAGCAGAATAGAAATTTAACCGGAATCTTAGGGTGAAATCACATGGATGAGTAATGCGTTGCTTCATAATGAGAAAGAAAAGGATAAACATATTCTTATATCCTTCTCTTTCTCGTTGTGAAGCAACGCATTGCGCATTCATTTGATTTCACCCTTAATCGTAACCTTAACGCTAAGAATGAGTAGATGAAGGATAGTAATAGATAACTATCCTTCACTTACTCATTCTGATCGTTAAGGCTACGATTAAGATTCCAGTTAAATTTCTATTCTGCTTTGGCTTTAATATCATATGTACAGTAGTGTTCAAATATGCCTTCCCTGTTAGATCGTGTCGCACTCATACGTTGCCATGGAAACATATGAGTGTGACACGATCTAACAGGGAAGGCATATTTGAACACTACCGTACATGTAAAACGACCATTATACAAACTTAGGGTGAAATCACATGGATGCGTAAAAAGTAAGACTTCATCCGGAAATACATGAGTATGAAAAGGATAGGCTGTCTGTCTATTTCACTTACACTCATGCATTTCCAGATGAAGTTTTACTTTTTACGCATCCATGTTATTTCACCCTTATGGTTTCTAGTCGTTTCAAGCATATACATAGTTCATTGTTGTTGTCTTGTATAGTTAACAGAGTGCAACTGAAATGTTTATTATTTAAGTGAAAAAATGTGATAATTTATTATAATTGTAAAAAATCAGGTTAATTTTTCTGTTTGGAACAGTATAATTACAAGATTCTATAAAAATTTTTGTTTCAAAATAGTGCAATTTTACAGTATTCAAAATGTTAAAGTTAATGACTTTGAGGTTAAAAATAGAAAGTTCTGTAAATTTACGATAGTGTGAAGAGCAATTTTAAATGGGGCTGCAAAATTACAAAAAATATTGTCAATTTACCCCACTGAGAAATGGTTTTTTTCTTTGCACACTGTGTGTGTGATTGTAACGGTGAGTGTAAAATTAATTTGTTTGGTTAGTTTACATTTTCGACATGTGAAACTAAATCGTTGCATTGCTAAATTGTACGCGCATTTTTTACGTAAATATGTCTTCATTTCACAGAAAAAAACCGAACTCAAAATGAATATCATATCATACTCATTTTGAAGTTCTACAAAAATGAGTCCAGGTTTTTACTGTGTTTTCCTTCACGGATGTCGTACGTTAACCGTGCTTTGCCACTCGCATCGTCAAGTTGTATTAGAGTGTTAAAGTTTTTATTTTTTACGTATAATTGTCCAACACAATTCTAAAATTAATATTTTTAAATTATCTGACCTCTAGATAAAAATTCACCCCGTGTTTCAAGGGTTGAAGCACATGAGTCGGCTGAAGGCTCATTTAAAAGAGAACGATTCACGTTTTAATTTCTGAAAATAGCAAAGTTTGTATCGCGTCAAGATTTTGCTCCGTGATTTTTCAAAAAGTGCCAAAATGATTTTTTAGGGGTTTAAACCCTATTTTTATCAAAAACCTAACGTAATAGAGCATTTTGGACATCGGATTCTTGCTTAGCGCAAAAATTTCGTTAGGTAACACCTAATCACGTTCATCATTTATTGTTTTAAACACAGTGTTTACTAATAAGAACTCAACCTCAATATAAAAAATAAATGAAACTCATTTTTGTAGTTGAAAATGTTTCTCTATTCAGATTGTTTGATTTTTTGACACGATAAAAGAATTTTTCTCCATTCGCATTTTATTTTCTATGTCTATAATATTATTAATAAGTTCGTTTGTAAATGTTTAAATGTTTTTTATTGGTTTCTTATCCTGTGTCACGTGTGAGAAATGTCATCGATAACATACATCGGTTTTCGTTTCAATCCAGATAAGTGCGGCAAAATTTTCAGGTATTTTACGTAAAACTAATTTTAAATAAAAAAGATTCAGAGGAATTTATTTTTTTGAAATTTAATTTTATTTATGAGTTTTTATTTATATATGTGACCGAGTCTAAAAAGGGTGCTATCTACCAAAATAAAATTTTCGAAAAAATCGCGTTAAAATTTTTCATAATAAGTAAAATGTCACCCTTTAGGTGACAAATTTTTATAAAAAAAAAGGTAAAAACCCACTGCAAAGGACGGAGATTTAACCAATTGAGCTTTTAAAATTAATTTTATGTATATTTTCACGCGTAGGTCATAGGGAATATAAAGAAGAAAATTTACTTTTCAAAGATTACTTGTTTCATTATGTTTTGATGAAATTTTTAAAAATAAAATTATTATTAGATGCTCAAAAAGGAAGAGAGGTTGCCCTGCAATTGTTGTGAAAGAAGGCGATGAATATCGCTTAAAGCGAGATCATAACTATCGAATATGTACAAAAAGAAGAAGAAATGATGAAAATAATACAGCTGCACGCGCTGAAATGATTAATATGGGAAAGAAAACCAACAAGAACCCAACAAAAATATTTCATAAAGTTATTCGCAAGTAAATTATCATCTCATGAAAAATATCTTGGATGCAAAAACTTACGCCAATGAAAAATTGTCTCAACTTTTAGAACAATTTGTGAAATGAATGTTAACCAAATAATATGTATGACCAGCTTAGATTTTAATTAGTTTCTTCAATAATATTTTTAAAATATGTGTGTAAGTTAAAAAACCACTTAAATACAGTTAAACAATTATCAAAATCAATAATTGAAATCGATTTTTCTAATTAATAAAAATTTGTATCACAGGAAGTAATGAAAAAATTTTGAGTAATATTTAAATAATTCAGATGCAGATGTAGATATATTTTACTTAGCTAACACTTATTTCATAAATTGTTTTGAAAATTGAGACAATTTGTACTTGGCGTGACTTTTTGCATCGAAGATGTTGCTGTTGAGATTTCAAAACTTTTTCTTTGATTAAAATATCCTCAATTATATATCGAGATTTCGGCCCAATTAATATTACATATGAGGTTCAAAGAAATCAGTAAAGATTTATGATTTGCAGATGTTAGCAAAATAAGAAAATCAATTTTTTACTATAAAAAAGTTCAAATTTCAAAATGTTTTAGTCCATTGAAATATCTTTTCTTATATATCGAGATTTTTATCTAATTAACATTTTTTGTGACTTTGAGACAGAATTGCGGGCTCCAAACCTGGATAAATTTAAAAAAATAGTTAATTTTTGTAGTTTTCAGCCTAATTTTCAATAATGTTCCAGCATCTTAAAATTTTTTAAAGTGCGAAACTGGTACCTCTTCATGTGTACATCTAGATTTTGCGTTTTGCGTGTTGTGATTTCAAGTTGTGTTCAATTCAATCAATTTTAATTTGATCCAAAAATACTTGCTTCGTGTGTTGGGTGCTTTTTGTAACTTACTAATAATTACACAGGCACACAAAATAAAAAAGTGGTTTGGTCGAGACACTACAAAAGTCTATTCCCATGTATTTTTTTCTGCAGAATCCGAATGCGAAGTCAGAATTGTCAAATTTGTTCCTATATTTGAGATAAACTCAATAAATGCTAAAAAAGATGAAATAGAATCAAAAAGTGAAAAAAATTTTGTGTAATTCCATGTATTTTTTGCTGTCAAATCCGAATTCAAAGTCAGAATTGTTAGATTCGCGCAAAGTTTTTAGGTAATTGCAAAAACCTTAAGAAACAAAAAACTCAAAATCTGTTTTTTGGAATTATCTTCAAACTTTGAGCCAATCTGGCAATTTTGACTTCGAATTCGGATTCAACGACAAAAAATACATGGAATACACTAGCGCAGTGTCAAACAAAAATTTTTTCACTTTTTGATTCTATTTCGTCTTTTTGAGTAGCTTTTGAGTTTATCTCAAAAATAAAAACCGATCTGACAATTCTGACTTTGGATTCGGATTCATCGGGAAAAAATTACATGGGAATAGGCTTTTGTATTTTGTAGTGTCTCGGCCAAACCACTTTTTTTATTTTGTGTGCCTGTGTTATTGTTCCTATATTCTCAATAAAGTTTATCAACAAAAATACTAGCTTGGGTATCTTGATGCATGGTTTCGTTAATTAATTTCAATTTCATATAGGTTTAGAAAACAAAACAAGCAAGTGGATCTCACTTTATCCAACATGCAACAAGCGATAAAGAGGATCAGGAGGAAGCAGAGAGGACCAACTCCGAAAACAATTGAAGATCTTGGCAATGTGCTACTGCAGTATGAAGGGGTCGAGGACATATATGTTGGCCAAGCTCTAGGCGATGATGACAGTGTGGCCATCATTTTTTCGAGTAAAAAGCTATTGGATCAATTGGACAAAGCCACTGAAATTTATATGGACGGGACGTTCGATGTAAACATCTTTTTCACAAAAAAGGAAAATATTTTTTTATTTAGACCGTAGAGTATAAATTATAGTATAATTTTTATTTCGTTTTTTTTATTATCTTCTTATATCATAAAAAGATTTTGCCGCCGTCGCCACAGAGTCAGAATTTTTTTTGTCTAATCTTCCGTCAAAATGTGGGTCAAATTTCAGGGCAGTTTTGCCTTGACAGGAAAGCTCCCTTTCATTTAATCTACCGTCAAAATTTAGGTCAATTTTTATGTCATTTTTGACCCCCTAACATGTATATCAATATCTTATTTAAATAGTCGGATAAATACAAGATACAGAAATGCATAAATACAAGTCTAAATTTCTTCAGTAAATAAAAAAGAAAAAGAATGAAACGATATTTATCCGAAAGTATCCTCAACTTATACGGTCTTGTCTGAAACCTGAACAATTTTTATCTGACTTTTGTACTACCCTATAGAAAAAATAATGCGAAATTTATATTCTAAAATAAAAGACCCATTAATTGTTTAATTAATAAAATTCGTTAATAGATAACTCCGAAACATCTTGATGCCTGCCAATGTTACGTAATGCAGATGAGGATAAGTGGAAAAGTAAAAAATACTTATTTTTTACTAATAATTATTTTTTTTACAGGAATAGTTCATCATATGCGATATTTGCATATATGATATTACAAGTAATAAATTTTATATATAACTTAGGGTGTTGGAACGGTTTTTATTCTCAGCAACAAGCGAACCGCAAAAACATACGACGCAATTTTTGAGGAATTAACCGAATGCTGTCCTCATCTTAAAGCCAACATTAAGGGCATCTGGGGAGATTTTGAGAAGGCGACAATCAAATCGACCAAGACATGGTTCAAAAATGCTCAGTATCACGGATGTTGGTTTCATTTTAAAAAAGTAAGATTTCATATTAAAATATTTAAATTATCTCATTATTGTAAAGTGATTAGATATTATCTTGATTTAAAGATAATGCTAAAAAAATAGGTACCCATGTAAAAATATTCTCAGTAATAGGGGAGAGTGGGGCAAAACCGGGTACCTTTTTGGAATTTGCAGTTTAAAAAGAATCTATCGAATAAATTAGGTCAAGTCAGGCTGAAAATTCTTCTTTGAACATTAGAGTATGAGAAAATAAGGATAATAGCAGAAAAAAAAATTTTTGAAAAAACTTAAACCAGGATTTACGAAAAAATGCAAAGTACCCGGTTTTGCCCCGATGGTGGGGCAAAATCGGGTTCTATCAAAAAAATATATAAATCATGGAATATTCTTTAACTTTCTATTCAATTAGTATTATATGGCTCTTATATTATACAAAACAATTAATATTCATTAAATTTAATCCAAATATATTAGATTATTAATTAATAACAGTAATTAAATCTTTTAAAACGAAATATGGAAAAATTAATCGGATTCGTTTGAAACTCGTTACTCGGGGGTTTTTGGGCTCGCTGAATTCAATTATGATGTCAGATTTTTAAAATTCAAAATGGCGGATCCAATATGGCTGGTACCCGGTTTTGCCCCGCACTGCATTTTTTAAGAAAATGTAAAATTTCCAGGTTATAGTTAATAATTTAACAATCTATCCTATGGGAAATTACTCGTAAATAAATGCTGAAAAAGATGTTATACTTGCCAAAACGAAGACATCGATACAACAAGTTTTATAAGTGATTTATTTTCGATAAAAATCGGATTTTATTTTGAACCAAAATTTAAAAGTCGCATAAAATGAAACAAATAAATTTTTATATAGTGATTTTATCATTAAAATGGTGTTGATTGTAATATAAAAGATATATGTGAAGGGCGATAAAAATAAAAATACCTATCATGGAAAACGGGGGGTACCCGGTTTGACCTGCCTAACCGGTTTTGCCCCACTCTCCCCTATTTTCACTTGAGTACCTTATTTTATACATCTAATAAAATAAGAATTACAATAGATTATTTTTTTCGTATGAATGTTACAAGACAAAGTGGGGTCGGAATTTCTGAAACGGATCACCCAAAATTCAAAACCTTTTTTTGTATCAAACATTTTTTTGCCTTCTTCTATATTGAAATAGAACCTCTGAAATTATTAAACCAAAAAATGTTTTTCTTACAGATATTAACAATTTAATTTATTTGCAGCCATAAAGAACAAAAAATTTCTCTATTAAATAACTACAAATTTTGTAGTTGACCCATTTAAAAATAAAAAGAGTTTTAAAATGCAGTCTTCAAAAATAATTTTTTTTAATTTTTAGTTTTTACTAATTTTTTTATATAATTTGTTTATAAAATGTTAATAAAAATTAGTCTTCTCAATGTTCTACAGAAAAAAATTGTATTATATTGCCCAAATGTCTTTCAATGTAAAAGCATTTTAAAAAACTCTCTCTTAATGAAGAAATTTTTTTTTATAAAAAAAAATAACCGTGCAGACGTTTCATGATGATAAACACGGCCCACGCAACCGCTGCCACTTATGCTCCCATTATATGATGTCAAATAGACATGTTCCATTTTATCACACAACTCTTCTTAATGCAAAAAATGCCAAGAATTATCGTCAAAATATTTAAATACATATCCTAACAAAGCATTTTGCATTTTCACTTTTTATATAACAAAATGTCTTATCTATAGCAAACTTTCTATGAACTGTTATTGCTATAAAAGATTACTACAAAATTATAAGAAAAAAATCTCAATATGAATTATTTTGGCAAGTTTGTTGTGAAAAATTGCTACAATTTTACTAGAAAATATTGCAGGAGACTTGCAACAATTGCTATAAGTTTACAGTAATTCTACAATTATGTTTCTTAAATTGAATTACTTTTATTAATTTTTTGTATTTAGAAATCTTTTTAATATTTATTTTTATTGATCAATTTTATTAATTACTATAAACTATTTGGAAACAAAGAGGGGACTGGAAATTGAACCTGGGGTTGACTAACATTAACGAAAGACCATACTTAACAACCTAAACAACCACATGTCAGTAAAAAAAGAATCCTTTATATATTTGTCAATGTATAAGATCAATTTTAATTTAAAGATAAGTTTCTCGAAATCATTCATAGTAAATTTACACCCATTTTCTGGATATATTGTAGCAGTTTCTCATGGTAAAATTATAGACAACTTTCATCAAAATCTTATTACAACATTTCACTGGAAGTTACCATAGGTGAGATATTTTAATAATTTAGACAAGCTTGTATAGAAGAATTGTTGCAAGCTTCCATGTTACATGGATTATGAGTAGTGAAATTATTTTTTTTAATAAAAATTTTATTGTATAGAATGCTCGTAAACGTTGGAAGCGAACAGGTCTTCTTCGTGATGGTCCGCAAGATTTTCTGGAATTGGTCCTTACGATAGCCTTATTGCCAGCTCACTTAATTGAAAAGGCAGTCAAAATCCTGGAGAGCAAAATCAAAGACTATGACAAGAAATATTGGCACAAACTTGAGAAATTCATGAAATATATCCGCAGAAACTGGGTGAAGATTGCTGACATTTTGTCAGTTAACAATTTGGAACAACAAACAAACAACATCAGCGAGTCGTTCAACAGTCGAGCTGTGTCACGAATTGGAATCCATCCGAATGTTTGGGAATTCTTAGGTAATTTTACATAATAATATTTATTTTTAGGGTATCATTGACGTAGACAGAACTTTTATGGAAACACACATGAGGAACCGGATCGGCTAAGTCGATTAACGTTCTGACCCGGGTGCGAATTGGCGGTTGGCTCCTGGTTGGCCCTCCTCTGGTAACCAATGGTCAGATCAACTAGCAAATTAATAACGTCGGCCGACATATGGTCGACTAAGTTAGGCCAACTATAGGTACCACAGTCGGGCCGACCAAGGCTGCCATAGATGGGCCGATCATTTTTGCCGACGTTCGACAGCGAAAGTCGGTCCGTCTATGACAACCAAGATTGGGCCAACCTTGGCTGCCAAAATTTTACCGACCACCAGCATTAAATTATAAAAATTATTTATACAGATAACATTTACAATCTTAAATTCATTTTCCATTCGCATCATGTGCTTAAACACTAAACGTAATCTTATAAACATATGAAAATATTTGACTCTCACAGAGATCGAACTCGCACTTTACACACTGAAGCCTAACACGCTAACCACTAGTATACGCAATTGCATGTGTGTCAAACGCAAAAATAGTCTTATAAGCTGCATCTTGAATAAAATTTAGCCGGCCGTCAGTCCGACTTAGGCCGACCATTAAAAAGTAGGTTCTTAATATTTCAGTTGCCCATGGTCTGGCCAACTGTAACTGCCGACGTCGGTAGTCACGGTCGGCCCGATTTTGGGTGCAAATATTTACCATGGTCGGCCTAACTATGGCTGCCGACCCTCTGGCAGCCAGAGTTGAGTCGACCGTGGTCCGACCAACCAACTCTAACGGTCTACCGAAATTCGCACCTGGAGTCTATTCACTGTAAAGCCAAACAAGACTATCAGAAAGTGTAATAAATGAGAATCCAAATTATTTTGTACGATTATTACTTTTAATAGTAATAGACAAAACTAGAAAAAAATTTATTATTGAATTTCATTTATTTTCAAAATATAAATCGTCGTTGCCCAAATAAATCTTAATAAAATTATTTGAAAATTGCCATATTTTCGTATTTCGGTATGTTGAAAACGATAAAGTAATTAAAACTTGAAAAAATTTATTGTTAAATTATTTAATAATATAAAAATGACCTATCAATAAATACTCAGTCCAAACTTCGACGAGAAAAAATATACGGGGAGTTTTTGAGATCAAAGAACTTCTAGTGAGACATTTGTAAAGATGTTTTTTTTCAATTTCAATTCTTTTGGTCAACAACTTTAGGTAATATAAAATTTTCCAGGACTAGGTATTTATCAACAGGCCTTTGTTTGTAATGATAAATAATTTAACAATTAATTTTTTTTTTAATTTTAAGCATTTTATCATTTTCAGTAGACAAAAATACGTAAGTATACCAATTATCCAATTACGAATCAAATTTCTGTTAGTCTTCGCATTGTATAAACTTTTCAAGATCTTTGGCCTAAGGTATAATAGTTATTGAAAAAAAATAATGTATACGAAGTTTATTGTTAAAACCTCACCTTCAATTTGAGTCCAAAAAACATTAAATATTTGAAAGGGTTATTTAGATATCTGAGAAAGTGTCTCAATTTATTTTGTTTAAAAATAATGAAAATCGGTAATTTTTGGGTTCATTACGTACAGTTTGCATAAAACATGGTCAGACACTTACAGTTTTATCTCAAGAGCCCTCAATGATTTTTTAAGTTTCTAGAACTCAAATTAAAGTTAAAGTTTCAAAAGTAATGTCAAAGCTGTTTCTGATATTTTTTTTATGCTGATTACGAATCCATAAAACAAACTTTACCATCAGCTCTAGTTTTTAAGAAAAATGAAATTAAAAAATCAAAAAATCTAGTTTTTGGTAAAATTAGAGGACCTCTAACCATAGAACTTTCAAGCGCTTGTACTGCAGGAAGGCGCTTCCAGAAAACCCTGTGGATAAAAGAGTTTTAAAAAACTGGAAGTCCAAATTTCTTTTTTGGTTATCTTTAGGATTAAAGTAGACGAAAAAAAATTCATGTATTTGAATTTTTTTAAAACTATATTAAACCATATTTCAAAGCCCTCAAACTCGCCATGCAAACTCGCCATTACAAAGCTAAAAATAAATTTTTTCGTAAATTGATTGAAAAATCAATATTTTTTGACTGGACTGATCTTTTTTTCTTAAGAAATGTTCAAAGAATAAGAGCTAATTATTTAATTTTTAAAATTTTAATTTCAAATATTTCTTAGATTTATAAAATAAGCAGATGCAAAAGTTCATTTTTTTAAGCTACCCAGCCCTGACATTTAACTTTAGAGCCTTATTCTTGATTGCGCTGAAAAGCTTATTTTCTTGGCTTTCCAAAGATATGCTACACGTTATATTTATCTTAATCAATTTTAATTTTATAAGCTGCTGAACTAAGGCCTATCAACAAGACACGCTTGTCCTACTGGAAGGCTCTTGGACGTTCTATGGTCTAACGATGAAACAGAAGATCGTAGAGACTTTTACTTAGGCTCAAATGAAAGCTTAATATTTCGTTTACAATCTCTGAAAATTCCATTCTTGGACTATAACCTCAAGGTCAATGATAGTCACTTTTTGAATCACAAAAAATAATGTTGACAAATTTTTTTGTTTTTGACAGTCAAAAGTTAACTGCTAATGACTTTGATGTTAAGGTGTAGAAATAGGATTTTTAAGAATTATAGTCAAAATATTAAACTTTAATTTCAGTCCAAGTACAAGTTTTTACGACTTTTCATTTCAAAGTCAGAGGTATTTAAATTTTACAAAAAAAAATTTTTGCCTTTTAAAAATTTACTGTTAATAACCTTGACTTTATAGTGCAGAAATGAGATATTCATGGATTGAAGACGAAAGTTTAAGGTTTAATTTGGGCCCTAGTAGAAGTTTTTACGTTCTGTATTTTCGTCGCTAGAGGTACCCAAACTTTGTCAAAAAACATTATTTTTTGACGATTTAACCTTGTTTTTCTCAAAAACCGTTGCTGATGACTTGCCGCGGCAAAATCAGTATTGGTCTATGTAATATGTGTGTTGTTTCATTTAATTGTTACATCTTAAAAAAATATTTTTATTTTTAAGAAAAATCCGTGTCAACTTTTCAGATAAAATCAAGATTGTGATATCCGACGAGGAGTCGAGAATGGACAAATTATTGAACGGTGAGGATCTTGGATGCTCCATGAAAAAGGAGGATAGAAAGAGGAATAACAGAATAAGAAAGGCAGAAGAAATGCTCCGAAACGGAGGGTAAGAAAATTTCATACATTAAAAATTATATTATTGTAATATTTTTTAATCTCATTACACTCAAGAAAGAAATATATTTGATTAAATCTTTTATATGGACATCCTGATGTAGGCAAGTTTTAAATATTGAATTGATAATAATAACGCTATTAAGAATAATTAATTTAAAGATAATAAAAAATCATCCAATCTTTACATCAATTAATTAAGGGGATTACTCATGAGAAGTGCGCAAAATGTGTCAAAATTGAACATTTTTTTCTCTCGCTTAGTTTATTACAAAATTCAAAAATACATCTTGCGTAATTCATACTATAGTTCAAATTATTAAAAGCCATAAAAATTTTTATACAACACGAGTAAGTAATCCCCGGTTGCTCGGTTAACCGAGAAACCAGGGATTACTTGCTCGTGTTGTATAAAAATTATAACAAACGCACAAATCAATGGGGAGAGCTAAGTAAATTGTTTTCCACCAATAAAAAAAATTAAAAATTTGAGACACTTTTAGAAATTAGCGATTATCCCCTAAAATAAAACGGACAAAGTATTCCATTCTGATTTGAACGTCCACATATGATGATTGTATGAAATATATAATTTATAATGTTTTTCAGATCAATTGAACAATTTTTGAGACAATGTGTTGCAAAATAAGGCGTGTCATCTCTATTTTGAGGGGTCATCCATAAACCATGTAGCTTTGCATGAGGAGGGAGGAGGTTAAAGTCATTGGCTTAACAAGAATCCGTTAACTCATAATTTACCGACAAAAAATGCCTTACGAATTTTACTTATCACGCGAACGGTTTAAAAATATACCTGCACACAAGCATTGCTGATTCGAAGGAGAGACAGGCGTTATAGATATTTAAATAGAGATAATTAGATAGATATAGATATTTAAGTAATACAAATATTGATATAATTGAATGCAGGTAATTTAATAGTAGTCAGAATAATTTGGTCCACGATGTGTTATAGCATCTTGCACCAAAATATCTCATTACCTTTTTTTAAAATTTTTTTAAGTTTGATTTAAAAATGAATAATTATCGCTTCCATGAAAATTAATTTTCCATTATCGATACAATTTTTTCGTCAATTTGTTACGATATTAAATGCCTGTTCCTCTTCAAGATAAAAAAACGACATTGTCTTTTTTTTGTATATATTATTTTTTATAAAATTGAGTAAGCCGATATTTTCATTACAAAAGAAAAATTCTTTTTACAAGAATTTAAATAACCATGTGCGAAGTAAGGTTACAATATTGACTATTGACATTGCACCGAGTTTGTATATTACAAATATCCATTTCAAAAAGAGAGGAAAAAACGTCGTAATCAATTATTTGGTTTATTGTAACATAAGTGATAGTTTTTTCTTTAACTATAATTACAATCTGTAAATTTTTGTGATTGTGTTAATCAAGAACTAGTATTTTCCCTGGAATCTTTTTTAATATGATTATTTTTATATTATATCATGGAAAAAATTCTTTGAGAGACGAAACGTAAAAATTGTAATGGAAAGTTGATTTGGTTTATGAATGCCAATTATTGATTTTAATCAATATGTAATAATGTATTTTGGTTTTTCTCTTGTTCAACAATTATTTTCATTTTTATGACTTAATTGTTATGTGAGTAGCTTAGTATAATTTCCAAATGTGTCCTACCTTAAAGTTAAAGTTGCAATTACAATAAACTTTACAATAAAGTTACATAGTGCTTTAATTGTCCGATTTTAGGTGAATTTTTTTTTAAATATTTGTTCTCTAATAACTTTAGATATCTAAAAAATATTTTTTGAAATGTTTGCCAGGAATATCGGGCCCTTAAAATATCTAAAACAAAATTCTATTCAGAAATTTTATTTATAGATTTAAAAAAGTTTTTGATATTTATTTCTTGGATTTTTGAAATTAAAAAAAAATTCGAAGACGAAAGAAACACAATATCAACAAAGTATATCTCAATATATGTTTTTCAAAAATTTTAATTTTAAAAATTAAAAACAATTTTTTTTACCTGAAATTTTATTTGGAAATTGAATTTTTGCACTAAGCACAAGTTAAACAAATTTTTGGACAATAATTTCTTTGATCGTTTTCGTTTTTAATTTGAACAGATTTTTAACTTTTTTTTGTGATTCGCAATTTTCCACGAATTGCTTTTTTGTAAAAAAATTACTAATTTTTTAAATTTGCCACCAATATACAGAAACGCTTTTTTCTCTCTTTCTTTTTTTTTCTTCACTAAAACAGGAAACTTGGCGCATACTGAAAATTTTAAAACAATCGAATGTGACCGCAAATGTTTGCAACGTCAAGAAAAATTGATTAAACAGAAAGTTTTAAGATTCTTCAGGAA